ACCACTGCACCACCACTCTTTATTAAGATAACACCAATTAGATACCACCAGTGACAATTATAAATTCAACACTAAGTGGCCACAATATATAGTTTCGTAATAAAAAAAACATTTATATAGACACAGTCCTTAAACAGAATAACACTGATGAATTCATCATCAATAAAACTCTATTGTAACCTCAAATGACAGCTGTAAGACAAGTGCTAAATTTTGTTAACACATTACCTGACGTGAATTCCTACACATATGGCAACCAAAGCCAAAATGTATACTCTTATATAAGCGCGCAACTTTATCTGTGATGAACGCTGCACTTTCCGTTTTCATGCAGGGGGCGCTGCAAATCTACACGCCCCCTGCATGAACCACGCAAGCGCAGGGACAGACGTTCGATTACGTTGAAATCGATCTGCAGACGGCGGTCTTCTCGCACGGCCAGTTCTATGTCGCCTTATCTCGATCCTGCAATCCCAAACAGGTGAAAGTCCGCATCGAACCGAACCCCCAGCAAGGACATCTACTTAACGACGAGAGAAAATTCACACGAAATTTCGTTTTCGATTAAGTCTTCCAGATGTAAAATGATATCAGCTTTTAATGAAGAAATACAATTATCTAATTCAAAACATAATACAATTCAAAGATGTTTCGTTTTAAAACATCAAAATGGAGCATCGGGTGCTTGCGTGAATGCGTCGTTCGTGTGCAATATTTTTTGTGACTTTCCTGGCCGTAAATGGTTGTGAGGGGGCACAAACAGGCGCCCCGAACAACCGCTAGTATGATTATAAATAAAGATTGCACTTTTAGTTTGAATAAACGTACAATTACAATACCCTTTACTGTATTAACAAGTGTAATGACCAGTGAGAGTCAGGATGTTTTCTTTCAATGGATATCTCAGTGATTTCGATTTAAAGCTTTCGTGACTGCAGGGATTCATCTTCTTGGTTCTTTCGGTTAAGTCCCGAGACTTTACCGAAAGAACCAAGAAGATGATCTCAGTGATTGTTGATGGATACAATCATTTGTTATTTGGTTGGTGCGGAGTTGTGGTGCAGTGATTTGATTAGTACACTGTGTTTTGAACCCAGTGGAGTTTGATGTAGGCCACAGTTACCATACGTGGTAAGTGATATATGAACATGTCATGATCCTCTCATTCAACCTGTACTGACCAGCATGGGGAAGTAGGGTTGACTAAATCGACAGTTGTATGGGGGGGGCCCTTCGTCAGGCAGATAATTAATAAAGGGTTTTGAGTTCAGTAGGAGTATATTTTTTAAGTCGACATTGGGCTATTACATTAGTAATGGCCCACTCTTGAGAATTCTGTCATAGGGTCTCTTAAGTGTATTACACAGTGCGGTATACGGCGTACCATTGCTCTTTGGAAATGCACTTCAAACATTGGCGGCCATATTTTAAAGCGCGTGACGATCCAGCCACCAAAGTTGGAAGTTAATATTTTACATAATCTGGAGCCTATTCTCCATTTTTTTTTACATTAAATGAAATATTGCTTTTAAGTCATGGGACCTCGTTTGCCAGTACCAAAATATAAGAATAGGTTTAAAATAAAGCTGTTTCTGGTGTGGACCAATCAGTTTCAAGGACAATGCGTATATTATCAGAGTATGTTTTTTGTTTGCATTCTGACCACAAGTATTGTGCTGAATGCAGACATGATTCCTCGTCAAAAGATTTCAGTTTTGTTGCCAGAAAAGAAAAACGGGGAAAAAACCTATTCTTATGTTGCTTTTAAGGTTAAGTGGACAGAGCAGTATCGACCTTGAGAATACAGTTGAGTTTTTTTTCTCTGCCATGTGTGTCGCAGGCGCTGGGCAAGCCAAAGGAAGTGCCAAGGAAGCTTGCACGTGGCAGGCATCGTCCACTGTGCTCATCAAAGACCGGATGTGGGCGGCACGAAAGCCAAGCCAAACGCAGCTTTTAAAGCATTTGCCAGAATGGTTGCAGGCTGCCCATGTCTGTGAACAATATGCCACAGCAGTATTCAGGCCCCACCAACTCTATGATTTTGCAATTTCGTCGTTCTAAATTACTTTGTCGTGATAGTCTATTGTTTACGGTAGATAGTGAAAGATAAATGATCAAATGTACACGATTGTATGGGTGGTGGTTGGGTAGCACAAACTACTTGAAATCAATGTCAAATTGATGCGCCAGTGTTCAGGTTTCAGGGTTAAGGCCCAATGGCAATTGAAACATATCTTACTTCCTTATTATTCATTGCTATCTACAGCTATTTTAATAATTACACTGAAATGTGGTCAATGGCATTTGTAAAAGCTAAGAATCCCTACCTGGTCAGCCTGTAAGAGTTATGTGGTAATGAACCAGAATCAGAAACTTTATTCATTCTGGAGAAATCCGATGAGCTATGAGGCTCTTTTTTCCACAGATGTCCAGTAAGGGTGAGTCAGAAAGTCACAGTAGCATGGAATTACATTTCCGCACTAGCCCAGAAATAACTTTACTTTGTACTTTTAAATAAAAGTTTAAAGCAATTACTACGAATAATACATTGATAAAACAAAACACACCTTTTGAAAATGTAATCACATGACAAATATATTTTCTGAAATATATCCACAATAGATTTATTTTGACACATACATTACAATATATAGACTATTTTTGATAGGCAGGGACATGATATCAGTACCTGGCCACATTAAAAGCATGACTCATTGCTATCAATGCAGATAATGAAAGCCCACTAAAACAAAGGGGGTCTGTGTTCATTATCTGGAATTGATTTACTCTGCATTGTATTTCAAATTTTTTGAAAATGAAGAAATTGTCCTCGTGTTTTAAAAGTTCATTAGCTCGCACAACATTTATGGTAACAAAATTTTTTTCATTTTGAACATAATCAGACTTATCTCACCTGCACTAACTAACCGTTATTTCCAACATTCAGTGGGACTAGGCTATAAAGAAAGCTGTCTCTGGTGTGGACCAATCAGTTTCAAAGACAATGCATAAATTATCAGAGTATTGTTTTTTGTTTGCATTTGACTGCAAGTATTGTGGTTAATGTAAGCATGATTCCTTGCAAAAGGTGTCAGTTTTGTTGCCAGAAAAAAGGGGAAAAACCCTATTAGTATATTCAGTGGGATGGTAAAATTAAGTAAACACACCTGTACAAAGGTGCAGTGTGAAGCTGTTACACAGCAAACACAGAGGGGTAAGAGTCAAATAAACACCAGCACTCGTAAACAAATGACCATATGTTAAAGTGTTAACCACCACTATTATTTGGTTCTTTCGGTTAAGTCACGTCTAAAGATAAAATAATAAATTAAATAATAGAATACGACGTTTCGATTGCAACACAAGCAATCCAAACGTCGTATTCTATTATTTAATTTAATTTATTATTTTATCTTTAGATGTGACTTAACCGAAAGAACCAAATAATAAGTCTTGCAGTCACGAAAGTTCTAAAATTAAGATTGTTAACCACAACTATGCCATATACCATATTGAACATTAATACAACTTGATATATGCTGACATACAAATTTAAAGTAAAAGTGAGCAATTTCCACTATAATGTAAACCACAAGGATTACTTTATATCTGCAACACACAGAAACTCATCAGAAGCTGATATAACGCTTAACAAAACCATCTTAACACTGAAGTTAAACAGCCAACAAATGGATCTAGAAATGCTATATAATAAACACCTCTTAACACATTGTGTATAATGTTAAACTAAGTACTAAGTATGATAGGATTGACATAAAATACAATAGCTTTACTGTGGATCAGTATTCCATTGGGGATCTATACATTTGGCTGCCTTCAGGAAGTCTACTGGGACAGAATGTGCTAGCACAACGGTGTTAATTAAGAGATATAAAGTGTCATCCTCAGAGCTGAGGGTCAATTTCCATGACAGATGCTTTCCACTTTTTTACGATCTTCATCGTCTCGAATGAAGAATCCCGTCCAAATGCTCATATCCTCCCAGCAAATTTTCTAATTTCTTTATCTTCTGCAGATTTGTATGCTTCATATCGCCAGCTCACCTTCATAGATTGTTCCACATATTCCATCTTCCTTCTTCAACATACTTCTTAGTAAGTCAGCACATCTTCATATTCTCATCGTGCCAACTGTAATATTTCAATTCTAACTGTGCCAGGTTTGATTTAAAACTGCAATGTTGCTGTTGCTCACCCATCCTCGTGCGTATTTTGTAGGCTAAAGTAGACACCTCTAACAGAGAAAAAAAATGTAAGCTCTTCACGAACACTTTCCAGTGCACCCTTGACGACACACAAACCGGATTTTTTTTAAAGCTATACTGATAAATATTCTATGGGTCTTTCGGTAAAGCCACGTAGATAGAAAAATAATAAAAATATCACGAAGTTTCGATCGTGGTCAGAGACGATTGCTCTCACCTGAAGACGATTGCTTGTGTTGCGATTGAAACGTGGTGATTTTTTTTTTATATCTACGTGGCTTTACCGAAAGACCCATAGAATATTTATTCCTGCAGTCACGAAAGCTTTAAGTCAAGACTATGCTGGTAAACACGGTTGAATATTTGCATGGAGTGTGTGTTTGTCCCGTGATTCCTCAGTGACCAGTCACATGAATAATAACTGTGTTGCCGCTTTTAGATACAAACTCATTGGAAATTATAAACAAAGAGGCCATAGACACTTGGCCACATGAGGTCGAAGATGATCTGTACAAAAAGTTAAAATGCTTTTTTTTTCTTCTTCGTTCTTTCGGTAAAGTCACGTAGAAGGGAAATAATAAAAATATATATATAATAAAATAATTCTCACGACGTTTCGGCCACAACGCAAGCAGCCGTCCTCAGGTGAAGAACAGGTCTATCGAGAAAACAGAGTCTGAAGACTATTCTTCACCTGAGGACGGCTGCTTGCGTTGTGGCCGAAACGTCGTGAGAATTATTTGATTGTTTTATTTTTATTATTGTATTATTTCCATTCTGCGTGACTTTACCGAAAGAACTAAGAAGATGAATCCCTGCAGTCACGAAAGCTTTAAATCGAAATTTAAAATGCTTTGTACCATAACTACTCTAACAGAACACGTTTTGGAGACTCTCAATATAGTGTGGTACTTGAATGAATAATACACAGTGTCTCTTTATGTCCAGACGAAAGGTTTTTTTTTTAATGCCTGGATGTTTCTCTCAACAAATATTGACTTGTTACATTGTATTAAACTCATTCTTCTATTTTTCAGTTTTAAGTTTCATTTATTAGGTACAGCCCTGTGAGCCATGTGGCTCTTGACTCGGGTATAACCGTAACAAACAAAACATGAACAAAAACATGAACAAATCAACTCTCAACCTTACAAATGTTAAGCCCACGTAGATGGCTGGGCGTTTTCACACGCCCTTTTCTTCAAGCAGAAAGTGACAACACGTTTAAGAGTTAGTATGCATTGCAGTATCAAACCTGGCACGCTGGCCCATTTCCCAAAGTCGATTCCATTGAATGCTGTTGAATTTCGCACTTCCCTGTCAATCCGCAAGTCAATGATCTCACTTGTTGATCTATTATTACTTTCTAAGACTGGCCTCCAGCCACCTGAGCACTTCCATACTCAAAATAACGAACAGACCACTTTTAGCCTCGACATTTAAGTGCACACTTAACAATCCACCAAGCAAAGTTCTACCATTGATCAGATTCACTTTTCTCGCTGAACTTACCAACCTTATATTCTCTCTGGATTCCCTAACCTTCCTTGATTATCTTCCACCTGTTTTGCCCAAGTTTCCCCATGCGAGTGCTCCAAGCTCGCCATCAAGTGCCATCCTCTTCCCTGAGGGTTGGTGGCGTCCAGCACCACCCTCCACTTATCTCTGTCCTCCGCCGGTCTCGCGCTGTGAATCTGCGTCTTCTGTCATATGTCCAATTGCCTTCTTGGTCCATCTCGGAATTTCTGAACAGATGTTCAACCTCGGATGAGATGTCCATAAAATTATAGTTTGTGTCTTCGTACACAACCAAAGTATATGCTGGTATAATGACTATAATATGTCAGGATTATATCTGACTCTAATTTGGCCCTTGGGGTTAGAAATGATCAAGTGCTAACCTCACCCTTTAGGGTCAACTTTTTGGGGTTGATTTCAAGGTGAGATATCAGCAATATTAATGGGCAAGGGTACTTTACATATTTTGTTGTACATCACTAAACTTACATTAGCAATGACTTTATACATTTAAAATGCAATGAGGAGCTGTACATTTTCAGGAAAGATGGAATTAGTGCAAAGTGTGTCGATTTTATTTTTTATTTCAGGGCAAAAGTCATGCACGTAGAAATTCTTGGGTGGCTGTAACCAGGATAACTTTGTGTGACTGAGCTCATGTGGCCAAAGACTGAAGGAATAACCCTAACTGCTGAGAAGGGCAGGTGAACATTTTCTGTGATTACTTTTGTCATTCATCCCTAGAGAGAGAAAAGATGACAGAAATCGGTCAATGAACACTTGCGTATCATTTTATTTACTTCTTATCTATGCATTGTTGTTGTTGTGAAAGCTAGATGTATGGCTCATCAACATACCCAGTGATGTCTCAGAAGGGTGAGGCATTGGGAATCCATGCTCATCCACTTTGATCCTGTTCAACACACAGACCAGTTCCAATTAGAGTCGTATAACTTGGAACCTTATGAAATGAGTTGCACAATAAGAACATAGGATTATAAACCTCCAAATCTCCATTCACGAACATCACGGAAGCTCAGCACTAATATCATATAATTTAAAATGAGGCTGCCTTAGTACTTTGTTTGCGTGTTATCATTTATAATGCATCGTGTGATATTGACAACTACGTATATTCTACACAGTTGAAAGATGTATTTAAAAAAAAGCTAAGAATGAAAATACTTGTATTTCCAAAGCTTTTAAATTACTTTCTTTGGCACGATTGCAATTAATGCAAGGAGCATTGTGATGGTAACAACTGAAGCAAGTGTATTATTGTAACAAGTCAACTTTCTTTCAGTCGCCAAATTAATAAAGCACTTTCAAGAACTTTATTAACAGCCTCTGTGTGAGCAATCATTTTCCTCTCCAGTAATGATTCATGAATTAAAGCATTCCTTTCCTATAAAGCTCACCAGGGTGAAAATTATTGCGATTTTGTTCAGCTGGAAGGCTACAAAAATTGGCCAATTTGGTCCAAGGATATAATGAGCAAATGTGTATTGAGATTTTGACAGACACTTAACATTATAATAGAGACTTGAGGGTTATTTTTGTGAATTCCTAAGTACGGTACCATGTTCTAACAAGGAATCACAGAAAGGGGCATCCCATCAGGGTTTAACATGTATTAATGCAGCTGAAGATACATTTATAGACAACACAAAAATTGTTACTAATTTTGTTAAATGTAAGCATGTGGAGGGACGGCACAGTAAATATGAAACAAATTTCAAACAAATGTCAATCTTGACTTAAAGCTTTCGTGACTGCAGGGGTCTTTCGGTAAAGTCACGTAGAACAACATTTTGTTTTGTTCTACGTGACTTTACAAATATCAATGTTAAGAATTTGAATGGAGGGGATAGGGTTGATAGTTGTTCAACATTTCTATGCCATTTTCATTCGTGATGGTTAACTAAAGGCACAAACTCTGAGATGAGTGTGAAATCTCATGTGCAGTACCTGTGTGAAGGTTGGAGAACTGGAGCCCATGATCTGGCAAACAGAATTGAGATATAAACACTGGGCCGTTGGCTGTCTCTGAAAGGCTGCCTGTGTTGTCATCAGCGGCTGTAGAGGTTGTACCGACTGGAGAGTCGTGCTCTGCTTTCACCGAACGAGGGCTGAGGCTTTCAGCCTCTGATTCGTCACTTTCGGGCTGTAAGTCTGTTGCACTGAAGAGAGGTGAAAAGGGCTCCATATCGAAGATGTCCGTCACTCCAGAGTCTGGAGATTTACTGCCAGTCTGGATAAGGAAATAGAGACACAGAAAGTAAGTGCACGACTTAGCTTGAGTGCAATGCACCCGTTGACCATCAGTAGACATAAAACGTTCAAATTGAACCACGTATGTGTGTGTTAAACTTCTTTCGCACCGTACAGAGCCAACCGCACTAATTGGAGGTGTGGGGTAAGAACAACGAACTAAACACACAACGCGGTTTGCACAAAGCTATTTATATTTGACACATTTTCAAAAACATACAAATATATATTTAATCATTAATATTATAGAAGCCAAAACAAAACAAATGGCACGCAATTCAATGACTGATAAATGTCAAACTGACATGATATTGATCAAATACTGTTATAAAGCAAAATACAAATGTCTTCTTCTTGGTTCTTTCGGTAAAGTCACGTAGAAGGGAAAGTAATAAAATAATAAAAATAAAACATAATAAAAGTAGGTCCGCCTCGACGGACCTGGTTTTCACCTGAGGACGGCTGCTTGCGTTGTGGCCAAAACGTCGTGAGAATAATTTTATTGTTTTATTTTTATTATTTTATTACTTCCCTTCTACGTGACTTTACCGAAAGAACCAAGAAGATGAATCCCTGCAGTCACGAAAGCTTTAAATACAAATGTTTTGTTTTGGAATGTCCTTGTAAAATAAGTAATCGTCAGTACTATGGTGTCTACTACCTTTTGAGGGTGCCAGGGTGGCGAGATGTTCACTACCTCGCCTCGTATACAGGAGGTCATGGGTTTGATCCCGACTGCGACGCCTGCATATTTTGAGTTTGCATGTTCTCCCCATGCTCGTGTGGATTTTTCTCTGTGTCCTCCGGTTTTCCCTCCACATGAAGAAACGTGCGTTTAGATGATTTTTCTGCTATACATTTCCACGTGAAAAAAAAAGTTTTGTTATCATTTTTGGCCAAGTCGCTTTTGAAAAAGAGCTATATAACTCAGTGGGCTTTATCTAGTAAAATAAAAATACCGTATTTTCTCGCATAAAACCCGCGGGGTATACCACTTTTTACAAACAAAACAAGACACTAAAAATATTTTACACGTGTGACATGTCATAACTCGTTTAATTTTTTCATGGTAGGACTATCCACTATGCAACACTTACCTTTGACTAAAGCACTGCTGAATAAACCACTCACACTAAAATTGCACATGTTATCACGTTTTAAATGAATTGTTTGTACAATTAAACGACAATGTTTGAAGTGCGCGGGAGAGCTGGGGAGAGCGAGAGGTAGGGTGCGAGGCAACGGAGTTGCCGTAGTGCCGCTATTATCTGCGCAGTGCGCAATCTACCAGTGCTAAAACTGTACTTACTTATCTACCAGCTATGTGTTGCTTATTTATTGGATATTTACTTTTGTTACTTATTTACTGTTTTAAGTTCACTCGTTTCCAGTTAGTTTGTTTTCTTTGTGCACGTTATAATGTTAATGTTAACAATGGATAGTGGAATGTATTACAAATGTAAACTTCTTATTAACATGATGGAATTAAGCTGCGGTAACGACGTTAAATATATGAATGCATGCGGGGTATAAGGAGGTTTGGGCTATCTGAAATTTGTTTTACACAAAACGCTATTTTTGCGAGGTATATGCGTCTGCGGGTTATATGTGTATGCGGGCTATATGCGGGAAAATACGGGAGTAAATAGCAAACAGTTCTATAACGTTTGTTGATTGATGGTCACGATGTCAGTCCCACACGGGAGGTCAAACACCATGGTATTCAGTGCGACTAATCATTATCCTTTGAGGCACACATATCTAAAGTGATTAAAATGTCCCTTTTTCACCTTAGAAATATTGCCAAAATGTATCGCTTTCTGTCACCTGCTGACTTGGAGAGACTGGCCCATGCTTTTGTGTTATCCCGACTCGACCACTGCAACGCCTGACTGGTTGGGATACCGAGCAAAGTCCTGGACAGACACCAGCTTGTTCAGAATGCATTGCACAATGGAATCCCAGGATGGAATGTGCATTATACATTTGAATTGTTATTATTATAACGTCGCTCTATTCAAGCTCAAATGAAGGCTACATTAGGCCTGGGATGCAATGTCAAAGCTGTAGCTCTAGATTTCGATTTAAAGCTTTCGTGACTGCAGGGATTCATATTCTTGGTTCTTTCGGTAAAGTCACGTAGAAGGGAAATAATAAAATAATAAAAATAAAACAATTAAATTATCACGACGTTTCGATTGCAACGCAAGCAATCATCATCAGGTGTGAAAACCACAGCAAGAAAATTTGAAAAAAGTGGCGATTTCTTGTGTCCTAGAGCAAGCCATGGTTGTTCCTGACTCCACCTCTACAAGCTCTCATCACTGCCTTGTATAGTTCACGAGGTGCATTCTCTCTGTGTGTTCCACCCGTTGAGTGCTGTCTAGAGCGCCTACAGGTGGAACGAAGAGGGTCGAGAGCTCCGTGTTTAGCAGGGTGAGGCAAGGCTGCAGCAGCAGGGAGTTTGGCCGCTTGGTTTCCACACTTCTCTCCAGCCCACTCTGCATGTGACACACACACACCATCATTGCAGTACACAAATAAATAGCTGCATTCATCAGCATTATAAATTGTCGTTCATGTCAAAGAACCACTGAATTATATCGATGCAATAATCTCGCTGGTTTAATAGCTGACGAAAGCCCTCAATAACATTAATTCAAGGAAATAATGGAGCCATTTATACGTGCTAAATATTTATTTATTTTGGTACGTCTCATTAAGGTTACTGGTATTCATATTCTTAGGTTTTTTCAGGTAAAGTCACGTAGGTAAAAAAATTAATTAATAAAAGTAAAATAAAAATAAAAATCACGACGTTTCGGAGGCAACACAAGCTTCCGTCTTCAGGTGTGACTTTACCGAAAAAACCTAAGAATATGAATCCTTCCAGTCACGAAAGCTTCAAATCTAGAATTAAGGTTACTGGTTTGTAATAAAACACAAAACACACGTTTTAAACGAGATGCAAAAATTATTGTTATAATGAAACTGCATACCTGTGTACTCTCAAACATGTCTTTCAATCCCTGAACCTGCTTCTTTAGCTGCCCATTCTCAGTCTCCAGGTTGACCACCTGTGCAATAAAAAAAAAATAAAGATAATTAAGAATCATACAGAATCACCAGGAATCACTCGCTCTTTTGACAGTCCCAGTCAACAACCACAAGTGTCTCCCTGTTCAAATTAGCACAACGATGGCACTCATTTCCACTGGCAGTCCTGAACCAGTGGTGGAAATTCCGCATTACCCATGGAGGAGTGATAGTCTATCCACAGGACAATCACCGTTGACTTCCAATGGTGGTACTCGTCTTATGGACACTGGAGGGATGATCGGCTGAACTTACCCCTGACCAGAATATAAACGTAAGTTTTCAGTTTTGAGATCAGCACTGTAACCACAATCAAACGCTTCTGGGTTATTTGGCAGCACTTCGTTTTAATCAACTATTGCTTAATCTATGCTGCCATGAACATATCTGTCATTAAAGTGACTAATGATTGGTTGGGGGACTGATAGTCTGCAACAACAACAATGAAAGATAAACGATATAAGCATTATTTTAGCACTTTAATGGAATGTGATCAATTTTGGCTCTTTAATCTATTTTTTTAATAGCTAAATTTAGGCCAATGTCAAGCTAAATGTAATGAAACTTCTTTTTTATCCCCTTCTTTGGATTATGAAAATATATTTAACAAACAGGTAATTAAATGAGCTGTTCAGTAATTAAGCTTCCTTTGATTCGTACAAATCCAATTCCCAAGTATATCGTTAGTCATTCATAAGTAATACACATGTCAATCATTGCATGTCTATGGCAGCAGGTAAAAAAAATGGGTTCCATTATTTTAATGAAGCAGGCATGACATTAATTATTTGATCAACATATACGGATGGGAATTGAGTAATATCTACCGCTAACGTTGAATAACTGTCCTACGTTTTGATGTATATTACAGATATATCGCTCCATCAAATAATCTTTATTTTATTATGCATAACTGTTCATCTCACATTCATCTTGAGTTCAAATTTCAACGATTCTTCATTAAGTAATTTAGTATTTTTTGTAATTAATTTCCATTTGTTGCAATGACCGCCATAATAATGTATGAAATAGTTGTATAATTTCCCCATTTATGTCAGTGCATTCATGCCGCAATTTTGTTGCTTGTAAAATTTCGTCAAATGTCCCTGTGAATAACTTTAGTGAGAGGTTATCTACTTGCCAGACTCCCCTTTTGATAAATGTTGTTGCATTCTTCATGCAACGTCAGTGTAGCTGTTCCATTCGTGTGTATGTTTTTTTTCAATAACAAATATATATTTTACGTAGGCCTCGAATTGTGATCATCAGTATCCACTGAGTGAATTTCATTTTTGCAGTCCACAAAGGCTATAGCCATGATGGTATTTGATATTCATTTGTCTTTTCCCAAAATCGAATTGATAGCATGTATTAAACAATATTTTACTAAATCCGACTGGCTAATGTGAATAATTTACACATATATATAGTTATAAATTAAAGACGTTTGTGAGAGCAGGTCAGAGTGCTTTTGGAAAACTGAATTTGATCATGAAAAGCAATACACCAGTGTTCCGAAAAAAGGGAGTTTTCTGACATCGCATATTACCTGCTATGGCATATGGATCGTAAAACAGAGACACTGACAAATAACATTTAACAAAAGCTGAAAATAAAACAGTCTGCTTCAGCAGCAGACCATGCTTTCCCACCTGATGACGGACGCTTGTGTTGCGCCCGAAACATCGTGATTTATTTTATTTTATACCTTCGTGACTTTACCGAAAGAATCAAAGAGTATATAAGAATAGGTTTTTCCCCTTTTTCATGGCAACACAACTTAAACTTTTTTTTACAAGGAATCATGTCTGTATTAATCACAATACTTGTGGTCAGAATGCAAACGAAAAAACACACTCTGATAATATATGCATTGTCCTTGAAACTGATTGGTCCACACCAGAGACAGCTTTCTTTTGAGCCTCGTCTCAAACGTTGCTCAAAAGAAAGCTGTCGCTGGTGTGGACCAATCAGTTTCAAGGACAATGCATATATTATCAGAGGTTTTTTTTTGCTTTTTGACCACAAGTATTGTGGTTAATACAGACATGATTCCTCATAAAAAGGTTTCAGTTATTGTTGCCAGAAAAAAGGGAAAAAACCTATTCTTATATTTTGGTACTGGCAAAGCAGGTCTCATGATGGAAAAAAGCTGAAAAGTGTGCAAACAAGCAAGGAGAGGTGAATGCTCTGGATTACACGAAGAGATAGCAGAAGGAACATAGATGGGAACATATGCAAATTAGAGACATCATGATGACCGAGGAAAAAAAATGACCCTGGGGTGGGAGACGTTTCACGAAAGGATGATGACCATTGCTCGAGACTAAGGATGACGTGTCAGCCAAAGTAGAGCACACGCCGGAGAGGACGACCACCACGGAGTTGGCGTGATACGCTCAGCTCATGCGAAGAAGCTAGATCAGGGAGCGGCAACCCTTTCAAAAGAAGAAGAGACATTTTTTTCTTTGACCAAAATAGTTCTTGAGCCGCATCACACGCAGAGCTACTTGTACACATACACAGCAGGTACACAGCAGATGACAGACCAATTCTGGCTTTAAAAAAAACAAAACAGGTGATGAAATAAACTGTGTCAAATAATGTTTTTCTTCCCTTATTTATTCTTTAACAATACAGTTTGACTGTTGTGCATTTTGTTGTCACCAAACATTCCACAGTGACCCATTCCCTGCCATATTTAATACATTATTTTTACGTTAAATCACGTTTAACATTTAATTGTTTTGCACCAGCTCCCCGCAAGGGGGGGGGGGGAAGCCAAAGAGCCGCATGTAGCTCCCGAGAAGCAGGTTTGCCGATCCCTGAGGTTGATGACTCACAAGACCATTAGGGATGGCGATGACTGTGTGACGCCTTCATCTTGAAGTGTGTTCATCATGGCCAATGGTGATGATGAATTCGATCATGAGATTGCCAAGACTTTTGAAACTTCTCATCCTTAACCCATCATCATCAACCCTGACATATATGGACAGTACATATGTACATGTTGTATTCTGTATACAATTTAATAGAGTACATAGCACGTGATACATTTTGAGTTGGCCTTTAACGTATCAATTTGAGTTTTAACAGTTTCATTTATTTAAGCCTATGTATGCCTGGCACAAAGACTTGGATAATTGTGAACTTATGCATGGTCCAAAGCATGCTAGCTCGTGGTTTCCATTAAAGGAGACCACAGCTATGCACTGTATTTGGGTGTCCATGTGTGTGTGCAAGCACATGTGTGCATATGCATCCACGTGTGCGCACATGTGCCATTAAAACGTTAAGTACATGGCACTGGGCACACGTACTTGTGTTCACATCTTTGTGTGAGAGCATATGTTAAAATACGCGCATGTGAGATCCTGATCTGTGGACTGCACATTGCACTACATCGCACTACCACACTGGTTTAAATATCTTATTTCTTTAAATACTTTATTTAAATAATATTTTACATTTTAAAAATTCTTGACTGTTGTTTATTTTAAGTTTATTACATTTTTGATTATTTATCTTGTGTTGATCGCCGATTGTTAATTGTTTATTTATGTCTGTTAATTGTGATTAATTTTTTTAATTGCTTGGTTGCACCGTGGGACCAAGAGAGAGGACTGTAATTTCATCTGTGTTGTATGTCATGCATGTAACACACTTGACAATAAAGTGACTTTAAGACTTTAAGACTTTAAGAACGTGGGGAGTGCCTTTGTGAGCGGTGTAGCGGTTAGGGCGCTTCACTGCCCAACTGGTGATCCGAGTTGGATTCCCGATTAAGGTCAACAGCAGTGACGAGTATCTGAACTGGTTCTGGGCCTCCCCGAGGTCGACCCAGCCTCAAACGAGTACCTGGTGCGATGTTTACAGGGAGACAAAAGCGCCAGTCGTGCTGTTGGCCACCCCGCCCCTCGTGTGTCGCATAGGTTCTCACTCACAGCAATTGCTCCAACAGTCTGTTCAGGCTATATGGGGGATATTTGGCTTTATGTCTGCAGATATGTGCATCCGTGTTTTTGCATTCGCCTGTATTCGTTCTGAGCATGTCATACCCGCTGGCATAATGACGCCATCTGCTTTCGGAACTCTGCATCTCTGGCCCCAGAGTCGACGTACTGCCGATAGGCCACCTCAAACGCCTGCCCGATTGTCAACGCAATCTCCTTTGCCTGATCAAAGACAGCAGATTAGATTATCGATCGACATGATGTTGAACATTATGGGAAGACTTCTCAACAATTAATGAGATTCTTAATGATTATGCAATGTATGGATCATGTGGTTGCGATCACAAACATGTGATCAGCATGCGATCAGCATGTTTGTGATGATGATGGAAGTGGTGTCCATTTAATGCTTCAACTCCAACCGTATAGCTCCAACCGTATGTTGAGAGCTTTATTTTGAATGACAGGGGAAGGATGAATTAAGCACGAACAGGATTTTCAGTCATAGGGATGCGTAGGGGACCGTTCATGGAATAATTACACTATGTAACACAATTTTTGTTCCTGGGTAGTAAGTGTTATTTCGTAATTGCTTATGCCTAAAATTATAGAAAATGGCTATTATTCCCCACAAACTTTGCTTTTGTGACCAGGACAGTGATATTTTGAAATTTACCTATTTTCAATGGAAAAACGGGCAAATTTGTGTCTTTTCGTTCACATAAAGTCAGAAAAAACAATATATGAATCAAAATTAACATGTATTTATACTAAAGTAATACAAAAATGACTACAAACGATTTAGGAGTAGTTTTTCGAGATTTGCTATTATACTGTAAATCACTTTCACGAATCAGCCCCCAAATGTAGTCTCCCATCATGTTCTGGTTGTACTGTCCTTGGTAGCGGCGTTCAAAGTCCAGTATATCCTGGTGGAAGCACTCACCTTGCTCCTCCGAGTATGCTCCAATATTCTCCCTTGAATTTATCAAGATGAGCATCAAGGATATGGACTTTGAGGGACATCCTACAGCCTATTGTGCCGTAGTTTTTCACCAGTCTCAACCAGCTCCACAGTTTTCGACCTTGTGATTGCCCAGGAAGCCACGAACCACTGCGACAAAGCTGTTCAAGCCGCTTTCTCCTTACTATGAGCTTCTTGGGGAATTAATTGCACTCCAGGATCTTCTTTATCTGTGGTCCGACAAAGACACCGGCTTTGACCTTTGCCTCAGACAGCTTAGGGAAGAAGTCTTGAAGGTACTTGAAGGCTGCCGACTCCTTATCTACAGCCCTGACAAATTGCTTCATAAGGCCCAATTTGATGCGCAGTGGTGGCATCAGCACCTTCCGGGGGTCCACCAGTGGTTCCCACTTGACGTTGTTCCTCCCCACAGAGAACTCGGTCTGCTATGGCCAGTCCCGCCTGTGGTAGTGCGTCTTGGTGTCCCTGCTGTCCCAAAGGCAAAGATAGCAGGGAAACTTGGTAAAACCGCCTTGGAGACCCATCAGGAATGCCACAATGTTTAAGTTTCCGATGACCTCCCAGCCGTACTCATCATACTTCAAGGCGTCCAGCAAGGTCTTGATACTGTTGTAATCCTCTTTGAGGTGTACCGAGCGAGCCAAGGGAAGAGATGGGTACTTGTTACCATTATGGAGCAGCACGGCTTTGAGGCTTCTGGATGAGCTGTCAATGAAGAGGCGCCACTCATTCTGGTTACAGGCGATTCCGATTGCCTCGAACAGACTGGTCACATTGTGGCAGAAGCAAAGCCCATCATAATGGGCGAAGAAGCTGCTAAAAGGTTGGTGACTCTTCCTCTGATCTGCGATTTGCACACTTTCGTCTAACAAGTTCCACTGCTTGAGACTAGACGTCAAAAGCTCGGCATTGGACTTGGTGAGACCAAGATCTCTGATCAAGTCGTTGAGGTATTTTTGGTTGGGGTAGTATGGGTTTCTATCCTCAGCTCCATCTCTGAAATTGTCATCTGGATCTACATCTTCCTTGCTCTCTGACTTGCTGCCTAAAGACGGCTGATCTCTCTCCGGAGGAGTGGGTATGGGGAGCTCATGGCAGTGTGGCACCGGGGCGATGGATGAAGGAAGGTCCGCATACATGATAGCAAGTGCATTCTTGCCAGTCCGTCGTTTGGAAGGGTCCACCATGCAGAAGTAGCAGTTGCGTAAGTGGGCAGTGGGTTCCCGCCAAATTCTTGAGATTGTAAACTTCATGGCTCTCTTTTCCCCTCTACCATCCTACAAAAATACATTTATTTCACCCATGACTAATGTGTAAGCGATTCTCGCAACATTTTTCATATATGATATATATTTTAAATAACATTGAAAATTGTTAAACATTTAAAAATGAAAAACTTTTACAATTATTTTTTTAAAACAAATTTTATAACATAAAATTCTAAGCAACAATTGTCCATCTTACCTTCCAGAGTGTTTTTGCATTGCTCGCTGGTGAAATTAGGGGCCCAGGGTTTGTCTTGATCCCCGACAGGCATGCCAAAATATGCCTTGTAGGCCTCACACATCTTACAACAAGCCTGATGAAGCTTGTTGTAATTACTGGCGAAACATCGTACTCAGATTGTAAATGTTGTAATAACGAATGGGCATGTTCTGTTTACGTGACAAACCTTACTAATTGGCTGTGTCATGTGGCGGCGAGTAAATGAAATATTATATATTTACGCGCACAAACAAAAAACAACATGTATTATGGCTTATATTATTTATTAATAAAAAAACTATTCTAGTGAAATAAACACTTGAGGTATTATTTACCATTGAATACACGTTCCACATATATTTAAAGATGTAATTGTTGATCCAAGTTTGAAGAATGACACTCAATCACAATATCACTTCATTATAAGAATAGTTGTTTGAAAAAAAAATGATGAGTGAAGAGTATTTTGGTCTACTTGATCTCCTTTCGATGGTCATGACTACTCTGATGTTGCCCCAAAGGGCCACAGGCGAATAAAAAACATTATTTAATATTATGTCAAAGCGAAATAAATGTAGCAAAGGCTAAAGAGCCAATTTATAGACTTGAAGATTGTTAAATTAACTGTTATCTATGGCCTTTACCACATTTTAGTAAAATTCTAAATCTATTGACACCTCAACAGGGAATGATGTACCATAGAATATATATGCTCAAAACATCTAAGCAATGTACACAGGTATCTGGTAAGCACTAATCAGATCTGTTAAGAGCTCAAGTATTAATAATATGGTGTTATGAATCACTCGAGTATTTTTTGGGCTACAAATGATGAATAAACTATTGTGACATTAGTGCAGGTGGTGTTTGTAACAAACTATCAAACGCGGCAGATTGCAGAAGACGATGGAATGGAATGAATCATGTATACCAAGTCATAATTTGCCTCCGCAGTGCCAGTATCCACACCACACCAAACACTATCATATGGTTGAATCGAACTAGCAGAAGCCCATTCGACTTTTTGTGAAATACATCTTGAGTCTCTAAAAATGTCCCATGTTCTTAAACGAACTTTATGTCACCCAGGTCGCCCTTGCAGAAGATGGAATGTTTCATGTGTCTCTATGGGTTTATGTTATCTGTTGGTTAAATAAATGATACTTGCTGGATCGTCGGTACCCTAGCATAATGATCTAATTACCACACGATGATGTTCTATCCCACATACACACATGGACATGCGCACTATATCAAGACCCCCCCTCCCTCCACTAGGGCCTTGAACAGGCTGGTTTCAGGCGGGGCTACCGCAATCAATAGTCCTGATTCAAAACGTTGAAGATGTATTTTAGCCTGATGAGGAAAGAGGCACCCATCCCATTAGACCAGGGGTCGGCAACCTACGGCTCCGGAGCCGCATGCGGCTCTTTACGGGCTGCTTCTTGACGATATGTACGTATGTACAGTATGTACTCAGATGCATTGCGGCTCTTGAAATACTGAATTTTGTACCGAATTGGAAAGAAATGGCTCTTCTTGTTATTTTGGTTGCCGACCCCTGCATTAGACCTACTGCAGCCTATGACATTGTTTGGAACACTAGCCTCGCTACAAAACTGCTACGTACCAGAGGCATCATGGAAATGACCGGCAACTGAAGTTTATTCAGTTGCTGGTCATTTGGAGAGCAAAATAGCAGGCTACAAAGACTATGCAATGTTTCACTGCAGGGGTCTGTAGCCAGAATGAGGTAAAGGTGGCGAGACATTAATCAGGTTTCTGGGTTCTTATTATAGTAAGCTCATACCTCATCATCGCCCACACTACATCACCGCCCATACTACACCACCACCCAAACTACACCAACGTCCACACTGCATCATAGTAAGTTATACCTCACCACCATCCATACTATACCATAGAAAGCTAACACGTCACCACTACCCACACTACACCACCGTCCATACTGTGCCATTTTCTGCCCAAGCCCAATCATATAAAAGTCAACATGACTTGACAGTGTTATCATTTACGTGTTCCCTTTTCCATCTCTAAGTATAGTTCCAAACATGCTATTATTACACACTTTTCATATGTAACCATAAACCACCACACGACGTATTTTAGCATCCTTGTCTACTGCAGCAGTAAAAACAGGTTAAGGCGTGGTCTTGAAATTGCTCGCTCACGCCACTGCTGGCGAAAGGACATCAACAGACCTCTGGAGAGCCACTCAAGAGGGCATTTTGCCCGAAAAATGTCATGCTGGCTCGACATTTTGGAAGAAGTGGGCATACTCACACTTTACCGTAACCCTACTGACGGACATGTGGTGTACCCATTCCTATGCCTGAGTGGACAAAGATGTGAGTAATGAATACACCTGTCGAATGTTTAAAATTCCGCGCTCTGGGAGTTCGAACCAGCAACCTCTGAAGCGCATGTTCACAGTCCTACCACTCATTACACCATGGCAACATACCCACTGTAGTGGTACACAGCTGTAATTCAACAAGTTCGTTGCTGACCTTTAACAAGGTTGAGTGATATGCCCTCAGTCGCATCACATTCCTTCAGGTACCGCTGTTAGATTCAACGTGACACACAATGGGGGAAGGTGGTGATGAAATGTATTATTTAATATGAATATAATTAAGGCCAACTCAAGAAATTCAGCAATGTAAGCCAATATAAACGCATATTCACATTTCAATGAGAGGGTCAAATTGACTCCCTCAAATAGGAAAGATATAGGATTATTAGAGCGTGTAATCACTATCCTGCCTTTTTCTGGGACAGACATTGTTTATTTTTTTCCCTCAAGCATTCTCAATGCCCTGATGGATGAAGGCCTCCCCATGCCACGTCGCCCATGGGGGTGAACTGACCTTATTTCACCATACTACTTCGTGCAGATTGGAAAAGAGGAGGGGGAACAGGTTCTGATATCAATTGCCACTGATGTTAGTCTTGGTCAGGAATCGAACTTTGGTCTTTTGGTTTGTAGAGCAATGCGCTAACCACTGTACCAATGCTCCACCTCGCAGTTAGTGTTACAGTTAGTGTTACTGCTCCTGTAAACCTCGGTTTTTCATTCAGCTTAGTCGTCACTGTTAAGTCAAATCAAAGTCAAATCAACAAACAATGGAGTTGCAATCATCCCCATTACTCAGAATAAGTCAATGGTGAAAATTACTACATCCCAAAAGTGGACGCCAGTCTCCCCATAGGATGATGCTATCAACACTGCCACATAAACCGAGTAATGAACATGAAGCCAGCACGATTCATAGCACAAATAAAACTGACTCCATATGTTGCTTTGAATAGACTTACCGATCAGTTCTGCATAACGGATGTGGGTGGAGTGACTCCTAGTGGCAACTCCAGAAATACACGACTGTCAAAAATAAAGGCCCTTAATTCTGTGCTGGTTATTTACCTTTGAGACCAGTTCCAGTATATTTGCTACAAGTCGTCAAATGCTCAACACTCACGCATTTATCACTGTCAAATGCATAGCAGAGGTTCCTGTTTTTGTCCACATCCCTGCAGACAAAGGCAAACATCCTTTTGTCCACCTTGTCATCCGCGCAGAATGAGATATGGTTGAGTGGAATGCTGTGCAACAGCTCCTGTGAAACATAACATACGTAGGCACTTCCATTTGCAAGAAATACAATTCTGGGAACACATTCAGGAGTACAAATTCAAACAATTCAAGCATTAGGACCCTAATAATTTTTTCATTAATTGCCATCGTTAAGGACACATTTAAAAGCACATCTGGCTCTGTTTGGAGCTCAGCTTTTACCTGCACCATGAAGGAGCATATATATATATTAATGTTACTAAGCTATATTTCTGAACATTGGATTGAAGGAAGACAGGCGTACATATGAATGGGGATAACATTAACGATGTCATATTTGCTAACGACATCGTGATTAGAGTGTCCAATGGGAATGAACTTCAGGAAATGATTGAAGTACTTAACTGAGAAGGCATAAAAAGTTGGGCTCAGGATAAATACGCGCAAAAAAATTGTTACGTGCAGCAAGTTCGAAAAAACATTTGGAGGCGTCTGACCGAGGGATACAACAAGAAAATTCAGTAGAATGTGCACCCACGACAGCTATTGAAGGCAGAACAATATCAAAATAATGAACAAAACGTAGATGACAGCAAAATGATTCGATTTTATACACTTTGGTTCTTTCGGTAGAGTCACGGAGGTATAAAATTAAATAAATCACGACGATGATTGATTTACTTTATTTTATACCTACGTGACTTTACCGAAAGAACCAAAGAGTATGGATTCCTGCAGTCACGAAAGCTTCAAATCAAGATTGATTAGATTTTGTTTTTAATCAGTACATACTCAGTTTAACACGCAGGCTTTCGCGACCAATGTTATTCATAATCAACGTTTTTGGGTTTAGATCGCGTTATTTATAAATGTGTCGTAACCCTCCACCACCCGACACGGCCAATCAGTAAAAAAGTGTCACGTTGACAAAAGACAAATAGTTAAGTACATACTATCTACCGTTGACACTGAAGTCATTCACAAAAAAAATAACAAACTGAAAGTTGCACAGAGAAGCATGCAGAGATGCAGACTTGGAATTGCGGTAGAAACCATAAATAGGCACATTTGGATGAGAGAACATATGCATATTAATGACGACATCCAAACGTAGTCGAAGTAAGTGGAAATGAACAGGGTCCATAGCTGAAGGGATGATGGTCAAGAATAATAATAGAATGGCAGTGGAAGGAATCTAACACATCTGGATGGCTTAGAAGCCTTTCATCCACCAGTGACTCGAACATGGCTATGATGATGACGACACTAATTTAATCCAGCAGTATTAAGTTGCAATGAAATTTATACTTTAGAAATGTTATGCTACCAAACTACGAATTAATATTCCAGTTGTGTTATTCAAAATAACAATGGGAATCATTGTAATTCCAATCATTATGAAAGCACTCAAATGTAGTGCATTCCATATAAGAATGCTATTTCGCTAAGAATAATCACATGTGTAACAATTTGTAAATACAGTCGAAGGCATTACAAATATGAATATAATGAATTATATACAATAAGAAATGGAATGTATATTTTTAAGATGAAGGGCATTCATTCTTAAGGACGCTTTTCCGAGGGCTACTTTAAAACATGGAGATGTTATTGTGGGGAAAAGGTCATGTTGTAATGATGACTACAATGGTATACGTGTTTAGGATATAAACACGGGTAAAAAGGCATGCAGCAGAAAAGATAGGTTTTATTTACAAAGTTTCAAATTTTTATTTAAAGCTTTCGTGACAGCAGGGATTCATATTCTTGGTTCTTTCGGTAAAGTCACGTAGAAAGGGAAATTATACAATAATAAAAATATAAGACAATAAAAATTCTCACGACGTTTCGACTGAAACACAAGCAATCATCATCAGGTGTGAAATCCACAGCAAGAAAATTTGAAAAAGTGGCGTTTTTTTCTTACATCAGCACCACGAAACGTCGTGAGATTGTTTTTATTGTTTTATATTTTTATTATTTTATTATTTCCCTTTCTACGTGACTTTACCGAAAGAACCAAGAATATAAAGTTTCTAATGTTTAGAATTTCAATTATTGACTTTATGCCTCTAGCTTTTAATAGACTAGACCAGTTACTCAAGGTGTCTGTATGTGTTTCAACATTCTTAATTGCTGTCAACCAAAATAGCAACATATTTGTTCTCATTTATGCATCTTTTATATACAGCCCTTTGTCAATCCACTGCTGAATGAGGGCCTCCCCATGCCAAATCACATTGACATACAGCTGGTCTCATCATATATTAAGAGCTAAGCATAGCTGAGCGAGGATAGTGCTTGAATGGACAACAACCATGCATAAAACAGGTGATGGAGGCTGCTGCGGGAATACGTTGTCAGGAAAGGAGAGTGATCAAATCTATTGATGTTACGTGACTATGCTCCAACATCTATGCTCCCTGCCTTCACTGCACTGCCCAGCGATGTTAAACACTGCATGATCAAACAACCCTCCACAACAGCATGGGGACGCCCTCATGCAGCAGTCGATTTTTTTTATGTAACTTGTAAACGATTAGTATACATGCGGGGTTTGTATGTATGATGTCAAGTGTTATCTTAGTAGCATATAATAGATTATCTCTCATATAAGTGAGTGATATGTAAAGGCATGGGATTCAACATGTCGAAATATAAGAGGGGTTGGGTAAACATATTAAACACTGCCTATCTGTTGAAATAAATATATTATTGCAAGCAAGCATTGATAACCACTAGGTAAAACAGTATACTAAGGATTGACATCACTTGACAGGAAGGGGGAATTATGTATGCATGTTGACCTTATTCTTAGGTTTTTCGGTAAAGTCACGTAGGTAAAAAATAAAAATTAATAAAAGTAAAATAAAATAAAAATCACGACGTTTCGGAGGCAACACAAGCTTCCGTCTTCAGGTGGAACCGTCACAGCCCGACAGCTGTATCAAGTAAATGAGAGATTACAGGAGATACCACTCCGTTTATATAATGGTTGAGGGGGGGAAGGGCCAGGAATGGCCCACTTTTTATTATTATGGTAAGGTGCGGTTTGAGACTATGAATAGACTGCATAACAAAAGACTGAGCCTTTATTATGGAGAGGTTCGGTTTGTGACTATGCCTAGCCTACATAATAAAACTGTGAAAAAAGAAAGCTAAACCTGGTAGAAAGCTAAACCTGGTGAAACAACTGGCTGTCCATCAGTAACCTGCAATAGTTTTCTGTCAAATAAGATGGTCCAAATAAGTGTAGTTAAATATTTTTTGCATGGTTAATCACATCTTTCCAATGATTAAAGGTGCGGCTCGAGACTATGAATAGACTGCATAACAAAAGACTGAGCCTTTATTATGGAGAGGTTCGGTTTGTGACTACGCCTGGCCTGAAGACGGAAGCTTGTGTTGCCTCCGAAACGTCGTGATTTTTATTTTATTTCACTTTTATTAATTTAGATTTTTTTTACCTACGTGACTTTACCGAAAAACCTAAGAATATGAATCCTTGCAGTCACAAAAGCTTCAAATCTAGAATGCATGTTGACCTTCTTTCGCACCGTAAGTAGCCAACCAATTGGAGGTGCGAGGATTATAATCACACGATCGAATTATAATCACACGGTCTCAGATTGAAGTAAAAACATGCTTCCTATAATGGCAGATATTACAGAATGGCTGTCAGTGATGTTACCAGGAATGTAGAATCCCAACCTCCCTCTGTCGTACTTGGCAACACGAGGTTACAGCTCATGGGCTGAACCTGCAGAGCCTTACACCACTCAGCCTCATTACTGCTCACCTCATATCACCTCACCTCGACCTTGTCAGAGCCGGTTTGTACTTTGTAAAATCTATTTTCCTTTATGCATCACTTTCAGAAAAAAATAATGCACCTTTTACGTTTAAAAAAAACACCTTTGTCCAGCATTGATTGTACGCTTAAGGGTTTGAACAATTACTGTACTGCAAATCAATACCAATTTCATGCATAAACATACAACGGCAAGTCAGTTGCTTGTATTGCAATCGAAACGTCGTATTCTATTATTATTTAATTTCTTTTCTTTATACGTGACTTTATCGAAAGCACCATAGAGTAGATACAAATAATCGATATTCTGTTGTTTATTTGGTTGCACACACTTTTTTTTTATCTTGGATCTTGGAAATCTGGGGTTTAATGCTTTTACAGAATGCCCTGGGATTGATTTCAAACATCCACATTCCATCCATACACCCCAACCGTTGGGAAAGAACTATCTGAGGACCCAATCAAAACCATCACCTTGCCATACATAGGAGGGGTCACCAAAAAGATTTCCAAAATGATGAGCAAACATAAGATCCAGGTTAGAATTAACACAGTACATAAAATTCGTGATGTGATCCCATCTGTGAAGGCTGTAATCCCTGATATGCAATACCCCGGCGTCTACAAACTAAGCTGTGTCTGCGGCAGTAGTTACATTGGGGAAACGAAGCGACATGTCTCAGACCGTGTTCGTGAACACAAGGCAAATCTGAAACACGGTAGGACCAATACCTCGGCCGTGGCTGATCATTGTGTTAATGCGGTGGGCTCACGTAAAATTGATTTCTCTAAGACCCACTGGCTTTCAGCAAAGATTCGTTCATGAAGCCATTCATATATATAGACAGACACAATTTCAACCGAGAAGATGGGTACAAACTCAGCAATCACTGGAAGGACGTTATCAGCCAGTTTAAGTCCTAACTGGCTGTAATGTTTGCATTTTAGACCTGGCAACCCTTTAATTGGTGGAAGCCCACCACCAGGACCATAACTGCCCACTACTACCATCACCACGAGCAGTAGCCCTTTATTGGTGGAAGACCACCACCAGCGACGTCATTGCCCTCTACGAGTACCATCACTTACATTAACATTAGCGGCCCCACCCATGCTGCTAACACTTGGGCTACGGTCCATTTCAAACCTTTATAAACAGTTTGCCTTTAGAGGCTAACCCCCTTTTCCTGATGACGGCCGCTTGTGTTGCGATCGAAACGTCGTAGTTTTTTGCTATTTTCTTTGAACCTATCTACGTTACTTTACCGAAAGAACCAAAGAATATCCACATTCCAGTATAATGCAAAAGAGAACAGTTGCTATATTTTGTCAATCTTACCAATACAAACTCACTCGGTGATGAAGATGATGATCACTCGGCTATCCTGCCACTTAAATGTGTATATGTAGCATGGATGAATTTATTTATGTATATATGGACTGGATGTATATTAGAGGCTGGCTCAGAGGATCATATACAGGAACAAATAAATAAAGTCCATTTATCTGCATCGTTTTTTACAAATATTTTTTTTCAGTCCATCAGCCTATGGGCTTTCCAGATGGGCTGAAAAATATTAAATTTCTTTGTCAATAGATTGCCTTTTGTTATGTTATTTTAAATATATGTGTAATAACAGCCATAGAGGGTTCACGTGGGGATTGGCTTGCCGGTCCTGCTTTGTAGCCAATAAGGGTTGAGACAGGGAGCATGGCCTCTGCGTGATCACGGCATGTTAGCAGGGGTGATTGGCCTGGCCATTCGGGGCCCCAGCTAATGGGGAGCCGGATCAGAGGCGTGGTCCCGGGATTGACAGGGAACCATCGAGAACGGTCAATGCTGTCTATGGAGGATTGGCTGGGGGGTACCACGTGACGAAGGGATTAAGAGAGAGAGAACGATCGAGAGCAGACTTGGGAACGACAAGAGCAAGAGTCACGCGCGTACGGGGGCTCTGGGTGCCACGTGCGCGGTGGGGACTTGGTGTGAAGTCTGCCCTCTCTCCGTTGTCTGCCGGCAACGGAGAGTGTGTGAGTAGAGTGTATTTGTGGAAGTGGAAATAAAAAGGACTGATTCCGAAGCCGTCTCAAGAAGGTTTATTACATATGTAGTTATTTGCTTATATTACTGTGGAGTAGCCAATCTGTTTAATAATATTGCATTGAGGATGAAACTTGAGTGCTTGGAGAAAACCACGTATGTCAGGGAACTACACACAATCTCTGTATGGATAACTTCTTGCTGCATTCATTAATGCCCTGAAGGTTGCCGATGCATGCTGATTATCCACAAATTGAAACTATTTTATATACCACCTCATTATCAATCGCTGGACTCCGCATGATGCATTTATTTATATGCAATACAAGACTGCCGTGTGCTGACCCAGCCTCGATTGCTTATACTAACACTGAAGTTCTTTAAGCCATTTACCTTGGACTTCTGTTGCACAATTCGTACTATGTGGACGGAGATATGGAGCTCCACCTTCTGCAGCTTCTGTCCTTCAGCTTTTTTGATGTGGCGTGTAAACTAGTAACAAAAAACAAGCAGACAAACAAATACAGAAAACGACGGTTTCACCCGCATGGTTCAAGAGTCGACGGATAAAAACACAAAACATAACATACCAAAGAAAAACCAAGATATATACATGTTTTACTTCCGTTATGTTCTCATGGTTCAGATTGGCTCTCATATGGTGTAATAAATAAGCTTGGCATAACTGTAATACTTGTCACTCTAATTTTAAGCAAATATCCATGCACTGTAACTTCATTATTTCAACATTTAAAATAGCAATTAAGTGCAGATTACTGCACTATGCCAAGAAAGCCATCTTTAAACAAATCACCTGCATTGACCTGTATTGTCTATAGTTAACACAAAAGTGTATTAATTTAAAAATTACTAAACAAACAGCCACCAGCAATTGTTAAATGCAGTGTTTGAGTGCATTTTGCCATTGATAGTTTGTTGAAGTTGTACAGGGATGATGGCGTCATATGTCGGTGAGAGTTTTCACAAGGCCCCTTCTGCTGCAGGGTGCTGATCACACACCATGTGTTGTGCCAGGTTGTGAATTGAGAAGGCTGCATTATTTTTTTCATTAAGCTTGCAGCTGTTCTACAAAGACAATGTAAAAACGCAACCATAGAGCGTTATTAAGGAGTGGTTTATCTTACCTATAAACGTAATTTTTTGTCTGCCTGTCTGTCCGTCTGTCTGTCCGTCTGTCTGTCCGTCTGTCCGTCTGTCTGTGTGTGGATGCAACTTGCGAAGGATTTGGCTCGCAAACCATGGGGTATACATTTTTTTTAAGTAGTCAGGTACCACGCCATAAGCCCCGTGGTGAGCCAGCGCTATTCCATTTTCCCATCCGTCAACTTTAAAGTAGTTAAATAAACAATTGAGTGGTCATTCTTATTTAATTATTTCCTCGCGCCGCTCCGCGAGTCCTAAAGCTGCCCTGGTGTTGCCCCTAGCAACGCACACGCGTCATTGGTCGAGGGGGGGATTTCTCCTTCGCGTAAAAAATGTAAAAAAAATACACACAACGCTGAGGTAAATTAATCAAAGTGTCATGTCCTCTTCTCCCCCCCACCCCAATATGTGCACTTACTACTATAGGGTCGGTAGATACTAGTATTATAGCGCTTAGATAGTATTATTGTAGCGTGAGCGGGGGGGATGGTGGGGGGGGTAGCGGCCCAGCCCCCAACCTGCCAAGATGCCACCTCGGCCGGCTGGGCAATCTAGGCGAGGCTGGGGGCTCTTCACGGGACTAGGCCTCACCACGGCAATGTTAAGTCAGTACTTTTTTCTTGCCTCTTTCGCTAAACTCACGTAGATAGAAAACTAATATAAAAAAAATCGGTTCCGAAACATTAAAATAATAATGTTTGTGTGTAGACAACTAATATTTCAAAATTAAGTTGGTAAATATTAAAATAATAATGTGTGTGTCTAAGTCCTTGTGTGCGTGTGAGAAGTGCGTGTCTGCGATGATGTGTGTGTATACATCCGTGTGTGTGTAAAAGTCGATGTGTGTGCAAGTCGATGTGTGTGTGCGTGAGTCGATATGTGTGTGTGTCAGTCGATGTGTGTGTAAGTCGATGTGTTTGTGTGCGTCGATGTGTGTATGTGTGTGTCCGTGTGTGTGTGTATCAGTCGATGTCTGTGCGTGCAGGTCGATGTGTGTGTGTGTGAGTTGATATGTGTGCGTGTGTCAGTCGATGTGTGTGTGTATGTCCGTGTGTGTGTGTATCAGTCAATGTGTGTGCGTGCAGGTCGATGTGTGTGTGCGCAAGTCGATATGGGTGTGTGTCAGTCGATGTGTGTGTGTTAGTCAATGTGTGTGCATGGTGTGTGTGTGTAGACAACTAATTTAAAAAAATTAAGTTGGTAAATTATAGAATAATAACGTGTGTGTCTAAGTCCATGTGTGTGTGAGTCGATGTGTGTGTCTGCTTCGATGTGCGTGTGTAAGTTGATATGTTTGTGTGTGTGAGTCCATGTGTGTGTGTGAGTCGATGTATATGTGTGAGTCGATGTATGTGTGTGTGTACGTCGATGTGTGTGTGTAAGTCCATGTGTGTGTCAGTCTATGTGTGTGTGGCTCTATGTGCGTATGTGAGTCGATGTGTGTTTGTGTGTGAGTCTATGTGTGTCCGTCCATGTGTGTGTGTGTACGTCGATGTGTGTGTGTTTCCATGTGTGTGTGTAAGTCCATATGTGTGTGTGTAACTCCATATGTGTGTGTGTAGGTCGATGTGGGAGTCTATGTATGTGTGTGTGTGATCGATGTGTGTGTATAACACCATGTGTGTGTGTTTAAAGTCGATGTCTGTGTGTGTGAGTCCATATGTGAGTGTGTGTGTAAGTCGATGTGCTTGTATGTGTGTGGGTCGATGTCTGTATGTGTGTAAGTCGATGTGTGTGTGTCTTTTTCGCCTGGGCAACACCGGGTACTTCCCGCTAGTGAGCATATAATTCAACATCATATACATAGTGCAAATACCATACCATTTACAATTGTTTCGGTTTTCAGATCAGAAGGGTTTTTAATACAAAATTAAACCCAGCCAGTTTATTTACTCTTATACCTTAATTTGGACATCATTGTGTAATAAACGACTCTGTCAGGCGATGCTGGTCTCCGTTCGTCTTTTATTTAGGTTCTTCTCCGCACCCCCACTGGCCTCTTCCTCGGACCAGTGCTGTCTCGCGTGCGCCCCGCGCACGCTCTCTCTCTCTCTCGGACCAGTCCTGTCTCGCGTGCGCCCCGCGTATGCTCCCTCTCTCTCTCTCTCTTGCCCGCACACTCTCTCGTTAACTCCCCTATTCCCGCACTCCGCACACCGCTGGACGACGGCGTGCAGAGGTCCTTTGGCCACGTGGCCGATGGCGCGGATCCCTCTCACCACCCAACGTGGCTCAGCCTCTTAGATTCCCCAACTGACCCGATCTCTTCTGGGCTCCCACTTATATACATGCCCCCCACGTGACCCTGACTCCTCCTCTTCCGGATCCTCAGATCCGACCTCCCCATACTATCTCTCTCTCTCCCGCTGGCTCCGCCCCCATTCACCTCGCCCCCCATTGGAGCCGAGGTGAACGGTGGCCCCTCCCACACGCCCCGCAGGCCCGGCTCCGCCCACCAATACCCCCGGCCGTGTGATTGGACCCGAGCCCAGCAACAACACCATTTACGCTCGCATTACAATTGTAAGCTATGAAAAATGTCACAAGGTATTCAAGTGTCATGTTATTCGTTGCTATCCTAATTTTACTCAATTTTAAATATATTTTAAAACTACTTTGAAACATCTAAGATTGTCGACATTTACTACAAAGGTAAATGATGTCATTAATGTTTATATTTGTATTGAAATGGCCCGATTAGCACTCCAATGTTTGCCAATTTCATAATTGTGTAATGCAAGCGTAAGCGAGATTTCCCGCTCAGCTCTGGGCCAATCGGACGGCCTGGAGTATTGGGGATGGGGCCCAGTAAGGTGGGCGTATGGGGAGGTCTGCCGCCCACCTCCGGTCCAATCGGATGCCCGGATGATCAGGGGCAGAGCCTAGGGGCGGAGCCGGGGGGGGGGGGGGCGCTGAGTGAAGGGCGTGATCTGGAAGGTTCGGAAAGGGCGTGGTGGAAGGTGGAGACGGGATGACGAGAGAGGGGAATATAAGGGGGATCCGGAAGAGGCTCGTGGCAGTTGGCATAGAGTCGAAGTGGGACCACGTCGAGCCATTGAAGGTCTCTAGTGCCATCGGCCACGTGGCTGGAGACGGCTCCAAGCACACCGTCAGCCAACGGTGTGTGGGAGTGCAACTGACGGAAAGAGCGCGCGGGGCGCGCCAGTGGAACAGCCGGTCCACGGTTGGGACCGGCGGAGTGTGAGCGGCATAACAAGAATAAAGACAGAGATGGAGACCAAGCTGTGTGTCGTCGAAGTCCTTTATTACATTGGAGTCAGAAGCGGTTCGAGATGTCTAAGCATCTCAAAAAGAAGAATCAACCCACACCTTCTGATGACGACGACGATCTTCCTCGTGATGTGGCGGTCCCGGGCGCAGAAGGCACAGACGGGACGGTGACGCGCGACTCTGCTGGGGTGGAAGATGTCATCGATGGAGCCGGGCCGTCTCCGTCTTCGGGTGCCGAGGAAGGCTGGCGGCGCGTGGCGGAGCAGATTGACTCGCTGTGGGCTGTTTTGCTGAATTTGGTGACCCTGGTCGCAACGGGGCCGGGACAACCACGCGTCGGGCCGCGGGATGGGGAGTCTTCGGGAGGGCCCGAGCCTTCCGCCATCGCGGCCTCTGCGAGGCTTCCCGCCATCGCCGACACGTGGCAGGGCGCCGCCATCTTGCGCGCGGCCGCGACGGTATCGGGGGAGGCCACCATTTTGTCCCCGCCGCGTGGTGCAGCTGCGTCCGGGGGTGGCGGCGGCGGGAGTCGCAGCCACCGCCTGCCGACTATTAAAGATTTGTGCGCTGGCAGGGTCTGGAGCGTGTTCGCTTGGCGCTTCGAATCGGCCGTCCGCTCCGCCAGGTGGACGGAGGAGGAGGCGTTGGAGGCCCTGCTGACGCTCCTGGAATGATGCATCCTTTAAGTTCTTCCGTTCCATTCCGGCTGAGAAGAAGGCGATGCTGCGGGGGGCTTTCGACGACATGGCGGAGGCCTACGAGCCTCCATCCGACACTCACCGTAGGTTCGTCCAACGCAATCGTGCGCCGGAGAAATCGCCCATAGCCTACCGTGGCACTCTGATTGCGCTGGCCATGGCCGCGTACCCAGGCACTAAGCCCAATTTGCTGGAGCCATTGATACTCAGCAAGATGTTGTAGCTGTCCAAAGACCTGGCCATCCCTATGCCCGTGTGTGGCCACGAGCCGCTAACCTCCCGGTTGGCGGCCAAGTGCCTTGACGCACAATTGAACTTGCGCCGCTGGGCGCAGATGGCCGCCTGGACGGGCGATCAGGCCGTCGATGGGGAACCCGTAGGATGGGCACCGTCGCGGGT